AAAACAAGGCTCGTGTGCATTTTGATCTATTTTTCCTAAACAAATTCGATAATGGTAAGTCTCGCAACTTTAGTAAACTCGTTAATGGTGACGACTCTTGGTTCTAGAAGTACGATCCAGAAGCCAAACAGAAGCAAACCCACCCGCAAAATCTAAGCAACAAAAATCCGCAGCAAAATGTAATGATGTCAGTTTACTTCACCCGAACTAAAATTGCAGCTGCTATTCGACTGGAAAAGGATCAGATGGTAACTGTAGAATGTAGCACCCAAGTGTGCCTAAGAAAAGGTCTAAAAAATTTGTTAGAAACCAGGAATAACGAGTATTTGCGGCGCTACATTTTACATCATGACAATGCATAATTTTATTGCGATCTCTGGTATCGAAGAAATACGTCGAGCATCATATTCCCCGTATATAGCAACTCGTGATTTTTGGTTATTTCGAGAAATTAAAAGGAAAGGTTTTTTTATAGTAACGAGGAGGTAACTAATGCGGTTAATACTGCTTATCAAGCTTTGAAAGAAAGATTTTGAAGACTGTTTGCAGAAGTAGATCTATAGGCTTATAGAAATGCATTGAAATCAAAAGGGATTATGTAGAGAAGTCTCTGAAGCCTAAGTAAGCTTTAAAAGCTAGACTTAGCCAAGTGATTGATAAACATATTGTAAGCGCCATTTGGCTTTTTCCAAGAGACTGCTATCGAATTAAGTGATTTCAATTCAGGAGTGCGCTAACAGCAAAAATTGTATGAATTTAAAAACAGAATTTGTTCCCACCATCTCTTCAACTCATTCTGTCTTCACGTGTAATTTTATGTTAATTCGTAAGATAACGTTTTAGTTTTTTTTTTCTTCATACATTTTTGTTCTTTTTGCTGCGCCCTACACTGACATTCCTAACAGAATGCGAAGGTAGTTAATTAACATTCAAAAGTTGTTACCACACAGTTACTATTTGTTTTTCATATATACATATATTCGAGTATACTAAGTTGGTTTCCCTGTAGGAAAAATTACTAGTTGTTAACTAGAATTCAATTGGTTGGCACTTTTCCATTAACTATTGTAGTTCATCTTGCAACTATTTCCCATGTAAGCAAAAAATAGTTTTGATGATGTCCTATGAACTGCCTACTATCCTACTATGCATCAGCTTTATACTAGTTCATTTAGACATGTTGAATTTCTACTTTACCAGTCGATTATCTTGATGAGTTAGCGATGAATACTTCAACAGCGCGTAATTGTGAAAATGTTTTGTTGTTAGATGGATGTAACAACAACATACGGGTATGGGAATTAATACTACCCCCGTTGCCGGTGAGCTGCTATTCATATAATACACTGGTATTATTTCTTCCCTAAAATACTAATATTTAACTAGAATTCTTGCAATCCAGTCGGCCTTTTCCCTGCTGGGTTTGGTTAGTACGTTTGTGTGTAGTTGTGAAAGTTATTGAAAAACATTTGCTGATACTATTTTCATTATTGAAATCAACATGTAAAAGAGTAGAGAATGCGAAGTAATACTAAATATGTTGGAACCTCCACAGGTATATTGCATATCTCAATATCAAAAAGAATGTTTTTTCTGCACTGGGATTTTAAGCAAAAATTTCTGATGATTATGAAAAAATGTATGGTCATGGGTGGGTCTTGACTTCATTGAAATGAAATTATTTTGAAATATTTCAAATAAATGAAAAAGTAGAGATTAAACAAAAATAATTTCCCTTATTTGGACGCTCAGCTGTTGCTATTAGAAACAGGAAAATTCTGGTGGTATTTTTAGCAAAATTAAGCCGCTGTTTTTTTTTTCCTTTGCCTTTTCATCCACCTCTTTCCCCTACATCGCAGTGATTCACTTTCAAGCTCAATTAACAGCTTTAAATGCGGACTTTTGGTTTTAATTTTTGCAACAAGTGTGTTACGCAGCCGTTGTGAAGGTTTGGACCGATCGAAAACAAACCTACAGCACACGCATACACGTGTACACCCATACATCTACTCTGTAAAGTCGCCACGCGGTCCGCTGTAGCGGTCATAACGAGATCAACAAGATGTGGTACTCAATGGACGCAAGTACAAAGAAGAAAAAGTAAGTTAAGCAATCAGACCAGACAGCAAAAAAGAAAAAGAAGTAGAGAAGTTGAGAGAAAGAAGGGGAGGAGGAGGTGCAAGAAGTAGCAGAAAAACCAGAACTAGCACAAAACTCGCAAGTTTCGCTGGGGGACAAGTGCACAAGTCGGTGTGTGCGCTGAAAAAAAAGGTGTTTTGTTTAAGTTAATAAAGCGAAAATCGATAGAAAACAAATAAAAAAAAATATATGTACATGTATATAAAAATATGAGTGAAATTAGAGAAAAACGTTTTGCGCATGCGCACCAACAAATCCACGATGGCTGCTAATGACACAGTCTTGAAATTGGTTAATGTGCGAAAAATAAAAGAAAGGAAAATTCAACAATTTAGCGAAAATTTACACAATGAAATAAAATAAAATAAAATAATTCAAAGAATGATAATAAAATAAAAAGTGAATAACAAACGGTAAAATTGTAAAAAGTAGCACAACACAGAAATGGATGCAACCCAGGAAAGGAAAGGTAGAAATGATAATTTCTTATGGCATGAGATGGTAATATAAATCGACTGATAAGACAATATGCTTTTAGGGTCAATTGTCGCGGCTGAAGTGTTGACGCTTCCGATAGGGAGAGTATAGGCCTGCCATAAAAGAATGAGACCAACGAAAATTATTAAAAACTATTCGCAACGATATTTGTTGGCAAAATTGAGGAGCGTTACACAAGGGCTAACATATGATTTGTCATCTATATTCTCAAAACAGCTGTGAAAATAATTATTGGACTAATGTTAAGGCTAAGTCGATAGATCTCTATCCAAAATCAATTGCCTGACCTTATACATGCTGGGAAGTTAATCAAATATTCTACTACGTATCTGTCGATTTAGGCAATGACTTGAAACGCGACTTCTTAGCGGTTCCTTGAGCTTTAACTAAAGAAGCTTCTAAACGTTTTAAAGCAGCTCCAATAACTGCCACTTTTTATATCCTTTGAAGCGATTTTCGGCTAATCATCTCTTCATATTTTTGGTGCACATTTTTAATGTTTTTGGAACAAATTTATGGCGTCTGTAATTTATTCTAAGCCACCTTCGAAGGGTTGGTGAATTTTATTCATCTTCTTTGTATCAGAAATCCCCGAAATAGTGACCGCAATATCAATTATTTTAAATAAATCACTAGGATAGAAAGATTGGCTCGGCCGTAATTCATTTCGTTACATAAATTTATATAGATAAATAATTAGGATTTAATTATATTCCATAAAATTTATTTTATATTTATTATAATTCATATTTTTTTTATTTTATTTAAATCTCATTTTTATTTATTTTTATTAATTTATACTTTTCTAATTTTTTATTTTGCTTTAATTAGTTCATATTTTATTATAATTTATTTATTTTTTCTTTAATATAATATATATATTTTTTTTTAATTTATTTTATTTTAATTTAATCATTTTTATATTTAATTTTATAATATTATTTAATTTTATTAAATTTAACATAATTCAATTAAAAATTGTTTATTCAATGTTATTTTGTTATATTTTATTTTAGTTAATTTAATCTAATTATATTTTATTATTTTTAATTTTACTAATTTTATTTCATTATTTTTAATTTTACTTACTTACTCCTTTTTTATTTAATGATATTTTGCTATTTTTTATTTTAGTTGATTTAATTCAATTTCATTTTATCATTTTTAATTTTATTTAATTTTATTTTATTATTTTTAATTTTACTTAGTTCAAATTTTATTTGATTTAATTTTTCTATTTAATTTTTTTATTTTGTTTCATTTTGTTCTAGTTAATTTTCAGTATTTCATCTATTTATTTTCCATTATATTTTGTTTATTTATGTTTTTATTATATTTTATTTGCTTCTATATTTCTATTGAATTATTTTATTTATTTTTATATTTTTGGTGATTTTATACTGTTCTTTTTTCATTTTTTATATTATTGTATTTTATTTTGTGTGGTGTGGAGTGGTTAGCATTGCGTACTGCCATTTGAAAGGCCCGTGTTCAACTCCGGGTACAACCATCATCCGAAAATAAAAAATTAAGTGAAATTTTCTTATTGCGGTCGCCTCTCGGCAGGGAATGTTAACCCCTCCGAGTATATTTCGGATATGAAATAAAAGCTCCTCATAAAAAAAACAATCGGTCGTTCGGAGCCACTTCCGTATAAACTGTAGGTTCCTCCATTTGTTGGAAGAACATCAAAACGCAAAACTACAAAATGGAGGAGGAGCACGGCCGAAAACCGCTTTAAAACACCAATTATATACACTATGCGTTTTTAATTTAAACATTTTGGTTATTCTTTATTATTTTTTTATTTCATTCATTGCTTTCTTATATTTTTTTTAATAACTTCCTTCCTTTATTTATTTTTTTTATTATGTTACATTTATTTATATTTTATAATTTATTACTTGATTTATTTCAGATTATTTTATTTTAAATTATTTTTTTCCTTTTTTAATTTTTTTATTTTTATATAATGTATATATTTATGATATTAGATTTTATTTTATTTTAAATAAATGTCTTTATTTCATTGGTTATTTTTTAGGTATTTTGAAATATGTTAAAATAACTAGTTATATTGTATTATTTATTTTATTTTATTTGCTTTGTTTTGCTTTATTTTAATTTACGTTAATCTGCTTTATTTTTTTTCATTTTTTATTTTTTTATTTATTTATTTTTTATATTTTTTACTTTTATTATTTTATTTCAACTCATATAAATTTTTATTTAATTTAAGTTCATTGTATTGTATTTTATCTTGTTTTTTACTTTATTTTTTATAATATTATTATAATATTCTTACTTTATTTTAATTAATTTTTTACGTATATTTCATACATTTTTGTTGAAATTGGTCTTACCTTTTTTTATAAATGTCACTTGCAAATATTTGCCAAATTACTATGTACACTTGTTTGTGAGGTTTCCTTGTCACCTACTTTCACTGTTACAAATAATCCCGCCAAATTTTTTTGTGTTCTTTGGTAAAAAAAAATTCGGCTTAATCGTTGAATTGCTTGATTTTTGATGAATTTTATACACTAATTCTTTCGTTTTTAGTATTTTTTTTTACATTTAAGTCGTTTACTGGCTTTCACTGTTGTGTTGAACACGCTTCTTACTAATCACATAGAAAATAGATGTGAGCAATTGTGTTATTGTGTTGTGTTGTTATTGTAATAAAATACAATTCTATAATGCACAAAACACTAGAGTTCTAATGACATTTCTTTTTATTTGTCGCTCACGCTAAAGAATTCAACGAGCTTTTTACTTCAATAAGAATTGATTTGCTTTAAGCGATTTTTTACGCTTATTATTTATTTATTTTTAATTGTAAATATTTACTGGAGAAAAATTCCTTAAACACTGTAGTTTTTATTGAAAAAAAGCGTGAATTAAACGCACATCAATCTCAACGGAACGCTTCTGGAACAGGTGGCAATCGCCGTTATTGCGTTGCGATGCTCATAAAAGTAATGGGAAACAATAAAAGCAAATGTCAACAACGCACAATTCTTTGTGCTGCTGGCGAATTAGTCACGGCGGAAAAATGCACGATTAATATTTATTTTACCTCTAATAAATTCCAGTTATTTTTTATTAGGTTTTATGGTAATTTTTCACTTTGTATTTTTCTTTGGCTAATATGGTGAAAAAAAATAAAACAACTTGCAAATAGCTCGCAATTTTCTACACTTTTTACACGCCAACACAATCAAGCGAATACTCGTATGCTCAGCAGCCAACGTCACAGCAGTCACTAGCAGCGATGCAAAGCCAAAGACAACTTTTCTAAAGCGACCGAGCAAGTGGGCCTAGCTACGTACAAGTATGTACGTATATATGCAAGAAGATATGTATGTAGATATGTATTTATGCACGTAAACAAACGAGCATCGAGAGCAGCAAACAGCCAAGCATCAATCACCAAGCACTAAGCATCAAGCTGTGAAAACCTTTTCGTTGTAAACTTTTTAGAGAAAAATAAAAAACCGATTCGTTTCGCTTTTCTACGCTTTTAATACAAACCGACGAGTTTCCGCGCTTCGACTTCTGCTTTCAACGAGCGACGACAACAAATTGAATTGAATATTCTTTTTCATTTGAGTGATAGTTTTGGAGTCATCTCGGGCTTGTTGGTAGCGCGCGCTCCAAAACACCAAGCCAACACTCCACTACTCGCTTGCTGTTTACCTCTCTATACGTGCATATATACAAACATACATAAATACATGCCTTACAACTTCAATTGTGCATATCTCTGCTGGTGCTCAGCGCTTGTTGGCCACCATCTCATCGTTTTGTGGCTACCTTGCTGGTTTGACAATGTTTCAATTCCGTTTTGTTGTTTATTTATTTTATTTACACATTTGAGCTCCACAATTTCACGCCACGATTGTTTTGTTGCACTTTATTTATTTAACTTTTTAGGATTGTGAGCTTTAATCAGAGCATCAGCGTGGTCAATATCTCAATAAAAGTTATGTTTTTTATTGTTGTCCATAATAAATACACAACAAAGTGCGCTTCTCGGGCTCTTTAAGCGCTTTCGTTTGCATGCAAAGCTCTCTCATAGCTTAGGCGCTCTGTTAAGACCGTTTCAAAGTGTTCTCTTTGCATTTTGTTCCGACCCTCAGTTAACTGCAGCAATGAAACAAACTATTTATTTAATTTGTGTGTGGGTTGCCGAAAGCGTTAAACTTTTTTATCAAGCTATTTATTTGTTACTTGAAGCTTCTTTAGTTGCTTTGTCTGGGTTAAGCTTTTGTGGAAAGCTCTTAGTTAAACTTCTGTGCGAATACCGAAAGTGTTGAGCTTTTTTTGACCAAGTTAAACACACAATGTGGAGCTTTTAGTTGTGTTTAAATGCAGATATGTTATATTGTAACGATTTAATTTTCAAAATACAAATATGAAATCAAAAATAATTATTGCACCAATTCCTACGTCAGAATTTCTCCTTCACTGTATGCACCGCTTCGGGTCAAATGAGTCAGAAATAGCTCAACTGTCGTTTCCTTATTTCACGGCCCGGTGCCAATTGGATAGCATGAACGGAATCTAACTCCTTCCGAGCTTGATCATTCTAATGAAGAGGTGGTCTTCTTCTGCTTTTCTCGGTGTGTTCTTCTTTTTTCTTTGCTGGTGTAGCAAACCAGTCGCTTAACCTTTTTGCCGTACCATATGAAGCCAAGACATTTCTTACAGAGTGCAGTTCTCCTACACCCTCTGATTTTACAAACGGGTACTGCATCGAATACTTTCAACGGTAGAGTATTTTCATCCAAGTAGGCAAAAGACCTAGCCGTGCGAACTTAGTCGCTCATAAAGATTAAAGTTTCTTTGGCTAGGGTATTATTCAGTGCAAGGTCCGAAAACTCCAATTCCGACTCATAAAAAGTCGTCATAACGTCAAAGCTACATTATGACGGGATTGATGAATGACTCATAGAGAGCGGCTTATGTTGGTCCTAGAAAGTAGGACCTATTGACAAGGTGGTCTGGTCTAGTGTAGAGAATTATTGAAGTGGTTTGAATTGTTCGACAATGATTTTAGGAAAGCTCAAGAGGACTTGGTCATTTTTTTTTTACTACTTCACTAATGGATTTATTCTTATGGTTTCATCGAATCAACCAAATTTGCTTGACAATAGGATTATACTCGTTCATTCCTTACACTACGAGGCGCTCTATGACCGCCAGCATATTTTTATCGAAAATTATAAGAAGCTTTTTTTTAGAGTCTTATGAGATACCGAATCGTGGTCAGTGAAAGTAGACCCTCTGAATTTCTTGCAGATTACTATAGTTTCAAAATAAAAGTAACTGCAAACTTTCATTTCTCTTGATTACATGGTGAGATCACCCAAAATACCACCTTCCCATAGTGTCGGCTACAAATCTGCAAATACAACCAATTACAGGGTCCGATAATTTGACAGTGCTAGAGAGGCTGTACTATCCAGAATACTTGACCCTCGTAACATCGAGACGATGGAAGAAAAATGTTTATATAATTGATTTCTGCAATGAAGAAGACTACTTATCGAAACATGAATGGTCGTAGATCCTAACGACTCTTGTGTCTGAATCCTTCTTGAGCATAACTGGAAAGAAGAGAGACTTCTTCCATGTCCAACGAAGACAGCAAGAGAGTATGTCTATTCGAGCACATTTCTCAGTCCTACAGATTCCGTTGTTCCGTTCTCATTCTATATACAGAATTATTAAACACTACAGAGAATGGATTACATACTTGGGTGACGTATGCTCAGTCTCCATAATTCCTGAAAACTAAGTCGTGATAGTTGAGTTGAGGGCTTAACCACAGTATTGTTTACTTTTTACTTGCTGAACAAGAAAAACACTTAAGCTACTGCTTTTTGATTTTCTGCTGCTCAAAACCTTTCTTTTCTAATGCCGACTCATCAGATATTATTCATGCCTCCGCGCCATATAGCCCGACGGGAATGATTACTGACTTCTAAGGTTTGGTCTTTGTTCGTTTAGAGACGCCTGTAGGGAGGACAAATTGCCGCTCAGTCCACAGTAAGCTGACGTTGTTGTTGGTTTTAATATTGGTTGCTTGATAGGCGACCTCAAAGTAATGACTATCAGCAGGAACGTGGAAGCCGGGTCGCCAACGCGATGACTGTTTCTTTGATACCTATTCGCTTCGCTTCTTTATCCCGCCTGGAAAAAGCAGAACTGAGGGCGCGGTTTTTGAAGCGTACGCCAGCAGCTGTAAACTTTTACAAAAGATTGTATCTTCTCGATTCAACTTTGCCGCTCGTATCCTTTTCTCCCGAAATAAATTAAAGAAATCAGTCGATAAAGAATCACTCCGTCTGAAATCTCATTTATTTTCGAACTGCTCGGAGAGGTTCTTTCCGTTCCTTACCGAGCTTTTAGTGTTGCATAACGTCAGTTCACACGGTCGTATAAGTTTCGTTGGAACACCGAATTCATACTCAACAACTCGATTTCTTTCTTTTCTTGCCTACACATGGGTTTCACATACCTTTTCAATTCTCGGTATCTTTCGCGCTTCGTCCATGATAGGCAGCATGTTTTCTCTCTTCTGCGGCATGGCAATACTCATCCCACCAGATTTTTTTGTACTTTCCGCAAGACAATAGGTTCCTTTGCAGCTGTACGTCGGGAGCTTGAAATGCCGTTAAATAGCTCCTTTACACTTTGTTGCTGATGAGTGTTCTCAAAAGCAGGTGTGCAAGCCGAGTAGATATCCGTTCGCCTGTCTGTTGTATTTGTAGATTTCCGCTGTCTATCCTTCTTGTTTTTTTTGGCGGTCGTTCCTTTGCTGCGCAAAACGAATGAGTATCTTTGCTCCTGCTAGTCTAACATTCGAAAATATCTTTCTCCCCCTACCATTTTTGTAACTCCCATACTTTTTTCGGCTTCATTAAATATTTGAGCATTTTTCAACACTTTTTAAATGCCAATGAGCACGCAGAGAAGAGAAGAAAACTTCTATCATAGAAATCTCGTTTTCACTTCAGTTGAATGATTGAAGTTTTTTTCAAATAAAATCAAAATTTATTTTCGCATCTTTTGAACACAAATTTGAAAAGAAAAATCAATAAAAATATCAACGAAAAGCGTAAGAGAAAGCGAATTCGGCACACAAATGTTACCGATCGCTCAAAATGATTGTTTTCTAAATATGAGTCAGGACTATCTGATCTGTACGACGATACACAAAGCGCGACAATTGGGTGTCTTCACGGGTGAGACTTTTGTGCGTGTTACGCTCGATAAAGCGCATAGAACGACGAAGCCTTACGCGCGTTCCGAGAATCCATACTACAATGAGGTGAGCAAAGCAAGTGCCTTCAAGTTTTCGAAATGATTTCACTTCATAACTTCCCTTCACAGTATTTTGTTTTCGAAATACGCTGTACGCTAACCGAACTGCTACGTTTGACAGTCTTATATGAGGTGCGTAAGAAGAACGCATGCAAGAAAACCATCTCACACGGTGAACTACTGATAGATTTGCAGAGTGTGTGGAATCAACCCAATCGTTGTTTCTTCAAAAAATGGGGTCGCCTCGAGGCCTCCATCACGGATGTGTCCAATATTACGCCAGGCGCATGCAAAGGTTATCTGCAGATCGATTTGGCAATCGTCTCAGAGAGCTCTGATCCGAACACGGTGTTGAGACCACACGAAGAGATGTTGGAGTTGAATAAATGGCAAATCAATCAGGATTTCGATAATATTGAGAGGTACACATATGGACACGACACGAAAGTACTTAAGTGTACTGAAATTTCCTCTTTTATGTTCCAGAAATATGTTACAAAATGCGGACCACACCATGCAATGCAATATCCGCTACAACGTCACACTCTATAAGGCAGTGCTGACCAAAAAGAGTGACTATCTCATACAAGTATCCTTTGCTGGCAACCATGTACTTTGTGACAACGACCAACGACCTTTTCATTTCTAAAGTTTAGATTCCATCCTTTCAAGGGCAAGACCAACGTCGCCAAGGCCACCGCTCAACCGGAATGGAATTATTCGGTGTGTTTCTCGTGGACCTACCCGTCGCTGTCGCAAACTTTTGTCGTACAAATACTCTCACATGAGCATCTACAATGGAAAGCTATTGCTGACTATGAGATACATTTCGATGAGATCGCTTTTAAAGGTTTCTGGGCCTTCATGGGATTCGGATGAGATAACTTATTTTTCATTTTGAATTTTTTTTTTGGAATAACTTTATATATATTTTTATTTTGTAATAGATAAGCCCGCCTTGGGACCAACTTATGTACACTTTTACGATCAAAGCAATTCTCTGCAATATTTGGGTCGTCTTTTGGTTGAGGTAGTCTCGGAATGCTTGCCCGCCGGTCCGGCGCGCGATCTATTGACCAAACCGGTTGCTCCGCTAGAGGAAAAACGTTGGTGGCAGGAGGAAACCTTCTTAGTAGAATTTCTGCCGTTACAGGGTGATTTTATACATGGAAATTTTAGTAACTGTAAAATCTCTATGAAGTTGGCAGGTGAGTCAAGTGACTTTTATACAAGTGGGTGTCATCAACACCTTCCAATTCAACTATTTTTTTCATCGCAACTTTTATGTGGCGGGTATTAATTTCTAGGGATTCGTAGTGGACTTCTACAGACGACCCCAACTTCAGTTAGGATTTTAATAGGGTATTGTAAGACAAAGCCATCCTGCAACGAAAAAAGACTAAGCTTTTCGGGATTTGCCGTCAGTACGCTCTCATTCCTTTAAACGACTGGATTCTTTGTGGTGCTTTGTTATTCCTAATAAATCGCTTGGGTACTGACTTTTGACAGCTCTGTATTAATACCATCCCGTAGTTTGGTATCGAACTCTGATTAGGCCTAATGTTGTGTCTCGGAAGTAGATTCCTCACACCTTTTTCGAGGTTCCAACTGATTGGCATGTTTTATGAAATTCAGGAGAGAATTCATACCAACAAACGTAAGCCGAGTAACGTTTCACCGATTCCTTCTCATCTCCTCATGTTCCTGCAAATGCGACAAAAGTCATTACAGAAGTAGCTCATCATTTTACAATGAGCTCCTGTAAAACAACGTCTGGTCATTACTTCAGTTGTTATGCTTGTGGAGGTCCGGTTAAGAAGGAGTAAAAGCTTAGTTCCTCTCTCTTACATCAATTGCTACATTTGTCGGGTCACATTTCATGGTATCACCCTGCCATCTGTTGTTCCGTGGAAAGAGGGAAAGAAGGAAGCCCACGTCGTGTGCAGTTTACTGTTCCTGTTCTATCTAGCTCGTCGACCTCGGAGCTCTCCGGGGTGGAGAGTTTACTTAAGATTTCTTTGCATCTATGCCACCTTTGAGGACGGTTTCTTGCACTAAAGAAGTTTGTTCCGCTTGAAAAACGTTACAGTGGTCGGAAAGTCTTCTGAGTCGACTGCAAAAGGTTCAGAGTAAACTTCCTAACCCACTGTTGTAAGATAAGTACGTAAGCATGGTCTCTCACTTTAAAGTTGGTCCCGTTTTTCGTTAAAGTCTCGAAGCTCAATAGCATTTGCTCTTCGCAAACTCTATATTGATATTCTTGGCTTGATACTATTGGCTCGCAGGTTGCAAGTACATGAACTGGTTGAGAACTTTCCTCTCAGAAGCTCCATAATAATGCCAATAAATGAGCTGGAGTGTTTGGAGAGGGTATGAATAACTATTCGAAATTTATTTTGATAACTGAAAGCTCAGTAAGAGAGTTTCTTCTCAAGACTACTATTAAATAAAGAGACCAAACGGCTTCATATTCAATTGAGGGGTATATAGAGTGGATGTTTCTATTAAACTGGAAAAAGTGACGTCTCGTTGCGGGCACAGAGATAAAATTCACGGTCAGTGAGACCGCCATACCTCGTTTCTAGCAACTTGGGTGTATGGAAATTCTCTAAAGAAAATCTTTTTATAACTCTCAAACTTCTATAAAATCGTTATGCTCTTTTAGAGAACTCCTCCAACTACGTGGAATGTTTTTTGAAAAGTTATTCGAGCAAAAATATGTCCAGTGGCACGAGCTTGAAATATTTCCGCCAGGAGGCGCCCTACAAAGCGGTATACTTAACAATCACGATGCCGGATAATCGTTACAAGTTCGATAGTGATTACTACATGCAAGAGATCTTGGACTTAATAGTCAGTAAAGGTTCACAGCTACGTAAACTTCTTTAAAGACTAAAACATATTTGTTTCCCTTCTTCCAGGAATCCGAACTCGCCACATTCAAACTCTTTCAAATCAAATACACCAATCAGTTCGTGTTACAGTCCAAATGTTTCAAGGCCATCATAATGAACTTACAGAATAGATTGAAGGAGGGCGTCGAAGATAAGCGGCTAGAGTATACAGGCTTCAAAGAGACCACGATGTGGGACACAAATCGTTTGGTTTATGTGAACTCGTTTTTTGTTAGTACACCACCTCGATCTTTAGAGTTTGGCAATACTTTTTCATGCTAAACTTGTTTTTCTCCTGTCTATCTCTCATTTTAGGAAAAGCTACCGGAAAAGTTACGTGCCATGCGTCACAAGCTCAAAACCGCACCAGCTATGCTCATCGAATCGACTATCGCTGAAGTTTTGGATCAAATGGTTTTCCACACCAATGAGCTGAAGAGTCTTTTGGCCACCACACGCTTGCAGGACGAATGGCCTACACTTCTGATTATGCTCAGCGTGTCGGGGAAGAATGATATTGCTGTTTGTCGTTTGAATGCTAAGTACTTTCTGAATGCACCGAAGGACAAACAACAGAGTTCGAATAGTTTGTGTTGGCGCATGCGAAATTTTATATTCAAGGTAAGAAGAATAGGAGAATCCTTAGGCTTTCAGAAACACTATTTGGTTCTTCTTTAAAACGTTACTCCATATCGATCCGCTTCTGCCCCTGAAGTATTAGAGAATTAGTTATGGTGGTAACCAATTCTTCCTTGGGAATTTAAAATGCTTGCGGGTGTCCCAAGAGACTCTGCTATCAGACTTGTGGAGTCTCTATGCTGATTCACTTAAGTGGGCAACCTTTGGTGCGAGAGCAATCATTATATATATGAATCTGTGAGAGATTTTCGGCCCTCCTCCAATGTCTTGGTGATTTCCCAACAAATGAAGGGACGTACAGTTTATACTAAGCCGCCTCCGAACAGCTGATGGTTTTTTTGACAGGAGCCTTTATTTTATGTCAAAAAATACAGTCGGAGGGGTGGACATTCCCTGCCGATGGGCGACCGCTTTTAGAAAAATTAACTTAGTTTTTTATTTAAATTAATTTTCTACAACTTTTTTTGGGATTTTGGTCAGTGCGCAATGCTAACCATTCGGCCACTGTAACATAGATTTTTTAGGTCTCAGACCCCTTTTTATCGTAATATCCCACGGCGAGGCACATCTTAAACCATAATTGGACTAAAGATGGATCACAGGCACTGCCTTTGTGTAGTGCGTTAAAGAGACGTAGGTTTCTAAGTTTGTCGTCTCAGAATCTTGATTTCCCTAATTTGCTTTATTATTTGGATTACTATGGCTAGCTCTTCCTGAATTCCTGAAAATTTCAGTTCCGAAAACACGCTCTCTTACCTGTAGCGCCTATCTAGTCTGACTCTACCAGGGCTCGGGGACTTGAGCGACTACAAGGTTTCCAGTGTGAAAGGGAAGATGGAGGAAAGTTCATGTCCTTTCCTTAGGATCCACCTTGAAATAGCTAATGGGACTGACGTTTATTAACAGTAAAAGTGGCTTTAAATGTAATTGGTTGGATATGGGAAGCCTAAATCTTATCTTCTATATTCTTCGCTGTCTACCAATGGAATCATCTTCACTTGCAGGACATTCACTGCCAGCATAGCTGCATTAATTGCGGCTGTAATGTAGGCATTATACAAGGCTCACTCGGCATTGTCGTGGACAGTGAACGTACCGAATATCTGGCGACCATTACTAGCGATTGGAAGCAAACCGAACTTTATTACTGGTCACCTATTGTACACTATACGGTTTTTAAATGTCGCATTTTCATACATCAAGCCAAAATACGGCCGGGCAGCGATAGTAGCGGTCTCTGTGACGGCTACCTCCGCATTATCTTCGGTTCACAGTGGGCACAGACATCCATCGAAGAGGGCACACTCTCACCCATATGGAATTGTGTAATTTGCTTCGATATGCTCGTATTTCCGGGCAGCTTACAATGGTACGCGAAGAATCCACCGCTCGTCGCTATCGAATTGTACGATCGTGATCGTTTAACTGCAAATGATTATGTGGGTTGTGGTAGTGTGACAGTGTCGGTGATAAGCTCAAATGATGCTGACGATAGTGCACGTGAGGAACCGGAAAAGTTCAAGCCAAATAAAATGGTGAAGACGAGAACTGCAATGCAGAAATATCAAAAGCTTAAAGTACTTAGTCCACCACCGCTCACGTGGGTGCCTATCGCACAGCATGGCAGTGTCAGAGCCGAAGTGTTGATGTCGGCAGAACTTGTGGAGACGACTGAAGAGATTGGCAAAATGGAAATGGCTGAACCGAACATTACAACGGGCATACCGACGAGCATAAGGCCCATCATGAAGAACTATGTGTGAGTCTTGAGTTTAAACTTTTAAAGTTTCTAACCACAAAATTTACACGCATTTCAATAGGTTGGAGGTGGTCTTCATTGGTTTTAGAAACTATACAAAAACTACTTTCGGCGGCAGACATCGGATCAAAGTCATGATGGGTGATTTACTATTGACCAGTGGACTCTCATCGACCCGCCTGAAGAACAGCATAAACTTTTTAGTGATTTTTGCCTCTGGCGTTGTGGTGAGTTGGTATTACTTGCTTTGTAGAAGCATCTGTGAAGAATGTAATATTTCCAGTTTGATCTCTGTCTAAGATAACTCTTCCCAAATTTGGAGCTACTTTAACAAGCTGGACACTGATTATATTAGGTGGGCTTATAACAGGGATTTCCTTGTTCGCCTGAATTTAAGTTGACAGAGAGTTCGTGATAGATACGTCGCAACGATATCCTTCGAATGGTCAGATAGGTTGAGGTGAGGCTCCAGAGCAATGAAGAGAGAACTTCGCTTTAAAGAGTGCTTTTGCTTTCTTATGTGGATAAATGACAGACCTACAGTTTATTCTAATCCAACTCCGTAGGACGGACGGAAGGAATTTTTATTTCATGCCATAAATACACTCAGAGGTTTTTGACATTCCCTTCGAACCAATGGTCTTCTCCACATTAGCACTCATTCCTAACCTCTGGTCTACTGCGTCCCGGTGTGGATCTGCAAGTCTTCACCAGTACTCGATTTTGGTAAGGAATCTGACTGGTCCGATTGGTACAATTATATACAGTCCGAATTAGATACCATTCTCATTCAGATGACGATAGCTGCTCTGTTAAGGCAGTCCATCTATGGGTGTCCCTCATTGGCTATATTACTCGCGCATATACAAGCTGTCAATGATGGTATAAAACAGTGCCGGGTCTGCCTTCGACATGGTAACCTAACTAGTAGAATAGTAAAATGAGCACCACTTTGGGTATTCAAGAAATCTTTCTTTTGAAAGTTCCAGATAATGAGTTCCGATCATTCCGTTTTATGAGCTCGATGTTGCTTTTCTGTTTTCCTTCCATTATCTTATTTCAGTCCAACATATATAGGTCTAAATAATTAAAACTACCCTCAGAGTCTGCCCGAACAACTCGAATATTGGCCGGCCATCATAGCCACCGATGTATCCGTTTCAGCCAAGGGTGCCGAGACTACATTGGGCGCCGTTCTGATACCAGATTCAAAACGTTTTCTACAAGTAGATAAATCTGTCAAATGCATACCGGCAATGCCTAGTGATGGAGATGCGACAACGTTACAAATTGGTGAGATGCAAGATAATGAAGCTGCGCCTTTGCTACGTAAAGAAAAGCCGACTCTAATGCAGCGAACCTTGGGTGTTTTCAAAAGAAACAAAGATCCCGCCAAATTGCCACCAATCGATAAGATGGATTTAGCACAAATTATCGATGAGACACAATACAATTGGTGGACGAAGTACTACAATTCCATATACACTTATCAGGTGGGTGAAGGGTATACACCACAAAAAGGTATCCGAAATAGAGGAGCTCAATCACAAAATTTTCCAGGAAACTGGTGACCTCTCACATCTTTACAAGCACAGTTTGATCATTTATTCCAACGAATTGGAGCGTCAAGCGGATCTTAGTTACATGCATGACTGGGCTGAGCCCGTTAAACTGGTGCATGGCGTCAAATACAAGAAGAACTCTATGCCCAAAGAGGAGAGTTATGCAACCCTTAAACTCAACATTAAGCTCGTGCCGTGTAAGTGTGGCACAAACGACGCAGGTGATGGCATTATGTTGCGTCCACTCGCCGCCGCATTAAATCCACGCTACCAAGCCGAGTTGCACACGCTCACTGATCTTACGAAGATCATAGTGCGTGTGTATGTCGTGCAGGGTGTGCAATTGCGGCCACACGACAAAAGTACCAAGTCGGATGCTTATGTGCGCCTGCATTTGGGTGGTAAGACTATAGCGAATCGCGCACACTATGTGCCCAATGAGAGTAATCCGGTGTTTGGGAAGTGTTTTCAAATGGATGCCGTGCTGCCAAGGTGAGTTCGGTCTTTGGTTTTTATGAGTTTATCAAATTTCGGTTTCTGCCTTAGAGATAACATGCTGGAGGTATCGATTTTCGATCGAAATTTATTCACCGATGATTATATCGGTTCCACTTACATTGATTTGGAAGATCGCTGGCGTACGAGACATCGCGCTGCTGTGGGCATACCACGGGAGTACTCAAAGTAAAATAATTAAATTAATTGTTATTTTTGCGTGAAATGAAATTAATGGGATCACCTACTTTTCAGAAACGGTTACAATAAATGGCGTAATATTGCTACACCCTTCGAAATACTCGCAGAACTTTGTTCCAAATCCGACTTGCCAGCACCGAAATTCCTTGAGAATCGTATTGAAGTGGATGGTTTGAAGTTTAAGGATGAAACACGTCTTGCTTTAGGTTTGTATGGAGTTTTTTTCACGCGACTTATAATTTTAAGCTATAAGGAGAGCTCAAAATACTATACAAAAATTAGATTGAGGACCTCTAGTTATCGGTGATAACTACGTAGTAGAATCCTTTACTTTGCGAGACAGAGCTGCAATCCTGACATACTGACACCTGCAATCCAACTCAACTCCGACTCAATAAAATCATAGAGACTATCTCCTCAAAACAGCTAATAACAAAGGGTAGGAGCTGCAGTGGCCTATAAGATATTAGGCTGCTCGTACCTCGAGCTGTAAGGTCTTGGATTTAATCTTAACAAGTCTAACATCTAACAATATGTTCTTAAAGCAATCGCTTCTCGACTGACAATGTCAGTACCTTCTTCTTTACTGGCGTAGACCCAGCTTTCGCGATTATAACCGAACCATTCATTTCTTTTTTTTGCTGTTTGACGCCAGTTAGAGATACCAAGTATAGCTAGGTCCTTCTGATCCTGGTTTTCTCTTCGTCTGCTTCCACCGGTGGATACTGCACCGAAAACTTCGTCCGGTCCACATGACCTAGGCAGCGTGACCACTGTTTCTGTATTCGATGAACTATATTAATGTCGGCTGTGGTATTCGCCGTTCCCAACTCGTAGAGGACCAAAAATCTTACGCAAAACCTTTTTCTCGAATTCACCTAGCGCCGACTCATCAGATGTTGTCATCGTCCAAGCTTCCGCACCATATAGCAGGACGGGAACGATGCGGTACTTGTAGAATTGGGTTTTCGTTCGTCGGGAGTGGACTTTACTTTTTAATTGCCTACTCAGTTCCAAGTAGCACCTGTTAGCAAGAATGAATCTGAGTTGGATTTTGAGACTGACATTGTTATTGGTGTTATCACTATAACTAGGGGACAGAGTAGAACTCACGGAGCAGTTGTTGAGGCAACGCTAATAATGTCAATAATGTCAATATCTCATAGAAGATTGTACCTTCTCTTTTCAGCTCTGCAGCTCGTATTATTTTCTCTAGATATAATAAATCAAAACAGTCACATTATAAGGAATCACCCTATCTGGAACCTCGCTTAGTATCGAAAAGCTCGGAAAGGTCCTTCCCGATCCTGATGGAGCTTTACATAGCCGTATAAGTTTTGCGGGGATATCAAATTCAGACGTAGCGGCGTAAAGGCGTAGCAGCTTTAAAATACAAGGGACTTTTCCAAGATTTGGCGCATGGAGTAAATCTGGTCAATGGTTGACTTACCAGGTCTGAAGCTACACTGATAAGGCCCAATCAGTTTGCTGACGGTGGGCTTTAGTCTTTTACACAATACGCTTGAAAAAGCTCATCTCACGGTAATTGCTGCAGACTGTTGGGTCCCCTTTTTATGGATTGGACAGAGCGCACTTAAATTTCAAACGTCGGGCACGCTTTCGTCCGACCAAATTCTGCTACTTAGCTGATGAATGCACCATGTCAGCCATTCACCGCCATGTTTGAACAGCTCTGCCGGTAAGACGTCAGCTCCGGTCGCTTTGTTGTTCTTTAATCAGGCATTCGGTATTCGAACCTCGTCATAGTTTGGTGGTGGAATGTCTTTTCCATCTTAATCGATTAGTAATTCGGGTACACCACCAGCAGGCTGGAGAAGTGTTCCCTCCATAGATTCTATATACTCTGGGAATACGTCACTAGATAACCTCTTTGTGTCCTACAAGAGTCTGCTGCGGTCTTGAAACCTTCTGTAGTCCGACATTACCCTTGTTGACTGGCTTCTCAATCTATTCTCCGAGTGTATTCCTACCTTGAAAAACTGCTTCCCTTAAGAATTCATCAGAGATTTAGAGACCGTATAGGTCTTCATTTGTAGGAAAGTCGTCTTCATTTGTAGGAAGGATGCGCACCACAATGTATGTGTATCAGTTTGATTGGAAAGCTTATTTTCAGGTGAGGAGCTGCAGGAGCGCCTAAGTCTAACCGCACTACATCACTTGGATCAGCTACCATCGTTTGGCTATAAATTGGTACCGGAGCATGTCGAAACAAGAACGCTATATCGACGCGATTGTCCCGGTATAGAACAGGTAAGTCAGTTATTTTATTGAGTGGAAACGATGAAGATCCACTGCGCTCATCGTCGAAGAAGAAAAAAAAGTAACTCTCCGAAAGAGCTCCAAAAGGAGAGAAGAAAATATAGAAAAAAATAAGACACAAAGATCACGGCCGGTTCATAGTGAAAGATGTAACATCTGAATCGGCTGAAAACCGGAATTTAGCCGTTACTGCTTTGCAGATGATATCTCAGTGCTAGGTTCCCCGTCATGAAATCCTCAAGAATATTAATGTCTTCCTTGCTTAATGTTGTAAATCTTTGGTCTGTGTACAAACCATGCTGTTTCAGGAAAATTTAGTGGTACGTCTTTTGGTGCCTACATAATCCACTGCTTTAGACGGCATTATTATTATTAATTATTTTTCTACAATTTCTCACACTTTTTCCTCATATTTTTTTTACAAAAAAATGTCTTTCATTTCAGGGCAAAATCCAACTATGGATTGAACTATATGAGGGCAACTTAAATATACCACCACCTATCGACATCACACCCCATCCCCCGCAAGTATACGAACTGCGCGTCGTAGTCTATGGTTGCACGGACCTTACTTTGGACGAACGGAATATTTTTGGCAAAAAGATGAGTGATGTGGGGGTGAAGGGGTAAGTGAAAACAACATAAAAACACATACGTAATTGGTTAATTGGTTGGTTATTTGATCAGAATCAGCTCATTAATTTATTGAAAAAAAAAAGATCGAACTCATATTTATTTTCGAATTTTAATTATTTGTTAATTAATGAGCGCACTTTTTTCTCTTCTTATTATTTTACCAATACTGCATTTCCAAAACTAAATTCAATTTGTGCAACCGCGCAGTTGGTGTGCTGATAAAGACCAGTCTCAAGCCACCGATATCCATTACCGTTCATTCAACGGTGAGGCTGCGTTTAATTGGCGGATGGTCTTCCCGCTCAAATACTCCGCCAATGAGGACATGGTGAGTGGTTTGTTGGCTTGTTCGGTGAAGATTACTTCATTTATTTAGTGGCTTCGATTATTATTTGCTCTTTATCTAAGCGTGCGTATCTGGTGTGGCGTTTGCTCATTTGCTTAATGAGCTCCTAGTAAAAATATGTAAATGAGAGTTTGCGGCAAAAAGTATTGATTTCAAATACATTTTTTTTTTTTACTTTTTAATATTAGAAATTCGTTACGTTGAGGGTGAGTACTGCCGGCGCAGGTGTTTTTGAGTTGAGATTTTTTCTTTGTTATTTGATATTTTTCTTAAAATGCAACGCATTAATTAATGCGTGCTATTTATTATTTTTCATAGATCTGGAAAAAATGATATAAATTTTTCCAAAAGTGAACAAACTGCTGTCCGGGTTCTAGGAATTAAGGACCTTAAATTTCGTTGCACTCATTAAAATAAAGTAAAAAAATATTCAGATTATTTACCTTTTTCTTTTTCCCTTAAAATTTCGTTCTCATCACATTTTTAATTCAACACGAAAGGAAATAAAATGAAATAATTCTGTAAGAAAGAAAATGAAAAGGATTAAAAAAAAATTAATTATTTGAAAACTTGAATATGTAAAAATAAATTAAATTAAATTAAATTAAATTACATAAAGAGTTAAAAATAAGAAAATAAAATAATGTAAAATTAAATGGTTTTTAAATTAAATAAATTAAATTAAATTAAATAAGCTAAATATCTGAAATAAAAAGTAAAACGATTAAAATTAAAAATAAAAAATTATTTTAATAATAAAAAGCAAAATAATGTAAAATAAAATGGTATTAAAATTAAATAAATTAAATAACCTAAATATATAAAATAAAAAGTAAAACGATTAAAATTAAATATAAAAAAATTTGAATAATAAGAAATGAAATAATGTAAAATAAAATTAAATAAATTAAATAAAATAAATTAAATTAAATTAAATAAGCTAAATATCTGAAATAAAAAGTAAAACGATTAAAATTAAAAATAAAAAATAATTTGAATAATAAAAAATAAAATAACGTAAACTAAAATGGTATTAAAATTAAATAAATTAAATTAAATTAAATAACCTAAATATATAAAATAAAAAATAAAACGATTAAAATTAATAATAAAAAACAATTTTAATAATAAAAAATAAAATAATATAAAATAAAATGGTATTTAAATTAAATAAATTAAATTAAATTAAATAACCTAAATATATAAAATAAAACAATTAAAATAAAATATAAAAAATTTTGAATAATAAAAAATGAAATAATGTAAGATAAAATGATATTAAAATTAAATAAATTAAATTAAATTAAATAAGCTAAATATATAAAATAAAAAGTAAAACGATTAAACTTAAATATAAAAAAATTTGAATAATAAGAATTGAAATAATGTAAAATAAAATTAAATAAATTAAATTAAATTAAATAAGCTAAACATCTGAAATAAAAAGTAAAACGATTAAAATTAAAAATAAAAAATAATTTGAACAATAAAAAACAAAATAATATAAAATAAAATGATATTAAAATTAAATAAATTAAATTAAATTAGATAAGCTAAATTAATATAAAAAATAATATACCACAGAATAAACAATAAAATAAGCAAAAATTTAACTAAATTAAATAAAATGAAATAAAATATAATAAAATTATAAGTATATTAAAATAATTTGCAAAAAATTAAGCTAAATAAAAAAAATTAAATTTCATGTTTACATTAATATTGAAGAGTTGACAAGTTGTTTACAAAATCTGACCTGACAGTTGGAATTTGTGTCGGCAGCTCCTAAATATCGCAAATATGGTCCTATCAAGCTTATTGTGTGAAAGGCTAAAACTCATCGTTAACAAACTGATTGGACCTTATCTGTATGGCTTTAGATTTGATTAAGGGGTTGCATAGGTCTTGAAGGCCAAAAAAACCTGTTTTCTCTTATTTTTTTAAAAGATACTGAATAACGTATACAATTAATTTTGTTCACATATCATATTTGATGAAAATTTGAATGAAAAATAGTTTAAGTTAAGGCATTGGCAGTGTCGTGAAGTAGACCGTCCACAAGAAAGTGCTTTCGCGGCAGTCATGATAACTTTTCAAATTTTATCTGAAATCAAAAATCCAATTTTCCATTGTCCCTAAACGAAGAAAAATTAAATAAATTAAAAATTTAATTTTTTGTAGCGTTTTTTTTTACAAAACAACGTCATTTTTTGCATAAAATTAGGCCACATATTGGCTTGTAAAATAAATTGAAATCATAAATGAAATAAATCCTTCATTCAGGGACTAGAAAACCATGCTTAAAAGAAGTGTGGAAAATTTTAACTCGATCGCTTCAAAAGTCGTTGAGAAATTTTGACTACCGAATTCGATAAATTGGTTTTGGGAAAAACGCGTTTAAAGTTTCGCCATCGGTCACGCCATGACAAAGACGGCGGTGTTACAAAACTCTCTAATTTCTACAGTTTCGTCTCGATCGACTTGAAACTTGGGGAAAATATTCCTGACAATTTGTACTTTTATACAAAAAATGATCAAATAAATGAGTTTTTTGAAGTTTAAAGACCTGTGTAACCCCTTAATCCACCAAAGACCAAATCTTGAAAAACGATTTTAAAGCTGTATTGGAGGGCACAGTAAGGAGCTGCTGTTATGCCTGAAAAACTTATTCAACGGTGTAAACTGACGCTGGTCAATAGTAGAAAAGCAAGCTTTTAATTCAGCGTTAAAAGAAATAAAATAAAATATATAATACAAAATTAAGTAACGTAAAAAACAAATAAAAAAATATATATATAAAATAAAAATTATATAAATGTAAAATCAAATTAAACTAAAAACAAAACTAAATAAAAAATAAAAAATAAAGTAAAAATTATAGATTATCTGAATTTAAAATAAATTAAAGTAAATAAAGTTAAATTAAATAAATACAATAAACTTGCATTAAAATAAAATAAAATAAGATATCTATTATCAGGTGCACAACTTTGCTCCGCCGTTTTCCGGCTGAGGCTATTTGAAATCCATAGATGATAATACCTTTACAGTGAGTGTGGACAGTGCCTAACGAATTGTCATCGCCGTTTCAGTGACAGTTGTTGTTGTTTTCGTATTATTCACGCTCGAAAATGTCCGTTTATGTGCCTAATTCTCGCCATTTGCGGGAAGTTTTACTTTTCTGTTACAGTTCGAAAAAAAAAATGCAGCTGAAGCGCATCGAATGCTCTCAGAAACTTACGGCGATGCTGCTCTGAGTGAAAGAACGTGTCGGGAGTGGTTTCAACGTTTTAAAAATGGTGATTTCGATGTCGAAGACAAACATGGTGGTGGAAGAGAAAAACCCTTCAAAGATGAACAACTAGAAGCATTGCTTGATGAAGATTCGTGCCTAACCATCACAGGAGATCGCTACCGAACGCAACTGATGCGCCTTAGTCGCGCGCTAAAAGAAAAGCGGCCACAATATCAAATCATCCTCCAACACGACAATGCTCGGCCTCACGTCGCAAAAGTGTTCAAAAAGTACCTGGAAACGCTGTAATGGGAAGTTTTGCCCCATCCGCCGTATTCCCCAGATGTCGCCCCTTCTGACTTCCACCTATTCCGTTCGATGACACACAGCCTGGCAGATCAACATTTTCAATCCTTCGAAGAATTGGAAAAATGGATTGCTTCATGGATAACGTCAAAAGAGGACTCCTTTTATAGAGCCGGGATCCGAAAATTGCCGGAAAGATAGAAGAAAGTTTTATCTAGCGAAGGACAATACTTTGAATAAGATAACTGTAAGCACTTTTTCGCAATAAAGCTTTTAATTTTGGAAAAAACGGCGGAAGCAAAGTTGTATACCTGATATAAAGAAAAATAAAATGTTATTAAATTAAATTACACAAATAAAATATTTAATAACAAAGAAAAATATTTAAATAAAAATAAATAGTAAGAAATTTTATTAAGTGAAGCAATTTTTAAATTATTATTTTTATATAACTAAAAAAATTAAATATAAAAAAGTAAAATAAAATATTATAATATCTCCTTTCGCTTTTTTGTCTTTTGAATTTCGCGGCCATGTACAAAGCGCTACATAATTTGAAAGGTCTTGACATAACCTACAGTTTTAGACGTGTAAACATGGAGTTCACTAACGCCAAAATTCGCGCTATTTTAAAGTTTTCCTTCGTTAAAGGCAAATCCACTAGAGAAACGTTCCGTGAGATTAATGGTGTTTTGGGGGATGGTACTCTATCACTTCGAACCGCGGAGGAATGGTTTCGACGATTCAGAGCCGGTGAAAACGACACCATGGATAAGCCAGCCGGCGGAAGACCAGTGACGACAAATACCGATCAAATCATGGAATACATCGAGTTAGACCGGCATATAACATTTCGTGACATCGCCCAGGAGATGAGAGTTAGTCACCAAACCATTTTGAACCATCTACAGAAAGCTGGATACAAAAAAAATTTGATGTTTGGGTGCCGCATAATTTGACGCAAAAAAACCTTCTGGACCGAATCAACGCCTGCGATATGCTGCTGAAACGGAACGAACTCGACCCATTCTTGAAGTGGATGGTGACTGGCGACGAAAAATAGATCACATACGACAATATCAAGCGAAAACGGTCGTGATCGAAGGCCGGTGAATCGTCCCAAACAGTGGCCAAGCCGGGATTGACGGCCAGGAAGGTTTTGCTGTATGTTTGGTGGGATTAGAAGGGAATCATCCACTATGAGCTGCTCCCATATGGCCACACGCTTAATTCTACCATCTACTGCGAACAACTGGACCGCTTGAAGCAGGCGATCGACCAGAAGCGTCCAGAATTGGCCAACAGGAAGGGTGTAGTGTTCCACCAGGACAACGCCAGACCACACTCTTCGTCGATGACTCGTCAGAAGCTATGGGAGCTCGGATGGGAGGTTTTATCGCATCCATCATATAGCCCGGACGTAGCGCCAAGTAATTACTACCTGTTCCTGTCCATGGCGAATGCCCTTGGTGGTGTGAAGTTGAACTCTATAGAGGCTTGTGAAAAGTGGCTGTCCGAATGCTTCGCAAATAAGGAGGAGGGCTTCTACGAGTAAGGTATTATGAAGTTGCCGTCTAGATGGAAACAGATCATCGAACAAAACGACGCATATTTTAACTAAATCCGATCACTGTAACACTTTTTATAAAGAATTGAATGAAGAGCAAAAAAGCGGAAGAGAGATATTTGACAACCTTATACATAATATATCATTAATCAAATCAAATGATTTAAATATTATAAATACTGTTATTATAATATACAAAATAGAAAAATTAAATGGATTAAAATAAAATATATGTCTTTTATTAGTCTTGCCTTTCATCCGCTTCAAATTTCTGGATCAGATAGAATTTGCCACTAATGCAAGGTATGATTTATTATTTATACCTTTTTCGTGTTGACGCTACTTAATTGGTCTTTGGTCTTTCATTTTCCTTTTTGACCAACTTTGTTCTCCTTTCGGATGCCAAGAGGTCGGTCGATATGAACGCATCCGCATATTACAGATATAGTATACTCTGATATGATATAGTATTCCGACGCTAACTTCAAAACTGAAGTACGATACACTGTTGCTAGTACCCTTGGGCTATTATTCCTTTTGAGTCAGTCTGTTCATAACTGGGCTACGTGGCATAGAATATTGACTCTTAGATACTTCTTTTTTCATGGGTCTCACCTCCGATATAAGCCATAGACCGCTAAGTACTTAAAATTTCTCCCTTTTTGGGGCATCCAACGTGTCGAGTACAAGTACTAAAAACAGTAAGCTTTGTTGGAGCGCCACCATCGGTAGCATAAGCATTCTCTTCAGAAGTGTACAGTTACTTTCCAGACTGACAAGTAAAAGCAGCTATTTATTCCAGATTTCTGGTAATAGACCTATTTTAAGGCGGGGTCTACATTTTATAGCTGATAGTGTAATGACTTTGAACACTTCGACACTTCGTCGGGTATGTCATCTGGACCTGGTGTGTTTTTCGACTTCAGCTTGCTTGCGGCTCTTTGTAGTTCTTCGGTAGTAAAAAGATATATTAATACAATCTAGTTCAATCTATATCCGCTGAGTACTAGCGTAGTAAATTTGAGAAACTTTAATTTGAGAATCCATTGTCCAGGTGTTGTTTCCTGCTTCCTGGTCCCGCAACTTTCCACATTAATATTCTGAAAAATAATACATTCATGCGCTCCTCGCCCCTTTAGATGGTCATTAAAATGAAGAGCGGCGTACTCAATGAATATGAAGTGAAACATCCACCGGTGCTCTACCTTCAAGTTTGGGATAATGATTTAATCACAAAGGATGATTTTCTCGGCATGCTCGAACTGAATTTGTCGAATTTCACAGAACCCTGCACGAATCGTCGCTTCTGTACGTTGACTAACGATTTTGCAGGCATTAAATTGCCTGAGCCTTTGGCACGCTTGCATGGCATTGCACAACGTCGTCGACCGCCGGTGAATTTATTTGCTAAGAAACGTGTACGCGGTTGGTTTCCCTTGCATGGACAGGTCGATCAAATGTCTAAGGATAAACGGTTAAAGGAGCAAATGCGTATGCAAACTGTAAGTAAGAATTTTTTTTTTATTAAATTCTATTTTATATTTTATAATTTTTCGCTTTTCTTGCTTACAGGGTAAAATCGAACTTGAATTGGAGATCCTCACCGAGGCGGAGGCCGCTTCAAACCCCGTCGGTACTGGTCGCAATCCACCAAATGCACTCGCCAATCCCTCGTATGTTAAGATTTTGGTTTATTTTATGTTTTATCTCTAGTGCACTTTTCTGTTCTTCCCTTTCTTTAAAGACGTCCCGATACCTCTTTCAATCCATTTACGAATCCCTTAAAGGCTTTCCATAAAGTTTTGCTGCCAGTTATTGTCAAAGGTCTCATCATTTTGGGCATCAGCGCTATTATTATTCTGGTTGTTGTGCAATTCTTCTCGAACTTGCCGATGAAGTTGTTGGGCTTGTAATTAATTTAAATATTTATTTTATCTTAATAGCATTTTTTATGTTTGTAAATTATTGTATAAATCAGCTTATTAATATTAATTGAATAAATATTATTTATATCCAGTTTTCTTTGTTTCAAGACTAAGACACGTCTGGTTAAGAATGGATCATTTTTTTTACTATTTTCTTTCTCTTTAGTTCACCACATTATTCCAGAGATTTACCTATCATCAGCCTAAGAGCAGTGTATTCTGTGAGTATTAAGCGAGAGGGGAGAACATTCTCAGCGGCGGGTTGGAAAAATTTTCGGAAAGTTCTGGAGAACACTGGATACATATATTCTAACGAAGACAAAATGGTCGATTTAGTTACGGGTCTTTTAGTCCACCAAAAACTATGTCTGTTTAAATCTTCTTTTAATAATAGTCATAAAATCCGGTGACGTCCTTTCGGCCTCAGGTTAATATGGAGTCTTCCGTTTTGTGTATGAGGTTCCTAGTCGTGAATAAGATCAGTTGTGACCATCCAACTTCACTATGCAAACCACTTGGACTCTCTGATTAATCTCATTAGATTCATAACCTTAATGTCCGCAATTTTGGGGAGACAATTCAGAAATATGGTCCATTGAAAGTCAAGCAGGGCAGTCACATAAAATATGATATATTATTTTTCGAGAGCTTTTCAGTTTCATGGTGTCTTATTAGAAGCTTGCCTGTTGGAAATCTTACTATATTGGCATTATCGGTCTCAACAACCGCGCTGTGAGTTCTGCTTTCTTCCGACTGAATAAAGAAGCGAAGGGTATGGGTCTGATAGTGAGCGAGGCCAAGAATATCTCTTGACTTGACTTGACATGTTACTGATGGTTCAGCGTTAGGAGTCTTCCTAAGAAAAGTTATGCGAACGATTTATGGTCCTTTGTGCATTGGCAATGGCGAATGGGTCGATGGGCTGTATGAGTCATACGATGATATTGACATAGTTCAGCGAATCCAAATGTGGCTACGCTGGCTAGGTCATGTGGTCCGGTTGGATACGAATACTCAAGACTTTAAGATTCTCGTTGCAGTAGCCGCCGGAGGACGCAGAGAAAGAGGAAAACCTAGCTGTACTTGGTATTTCCAATTGGCGCCAAACTACGAAAAGAATAAACGAATGTTGTTAACTCGGCAGAGAGATTTACAAGCAAATTGTATTGACAGCTCTTGGAGAATCTGTTGCAAATTTGATAGGATTCGAAGGGCTTTAAATCCAGCTGGTAATATATTTGGTATGAATGATGATAAGAAAGAGTCGCATAATAACTAAACAAAGACGAAGCTATGAAAGTGATGATAAACATTGACGATCGTCAGCGAAGACGTCGACGATAGTCAGCATTGATCATCTTTTGTAAAGTTCGGCGACAACCCAGCACAGTTTGGAAGCTTAGTGTAAGCGATCCCAATAATAAAGATATCCTTATTCTTTCAAATGCTTTGTTGCTTTCATGATGTCAGAGATCTCCGCCATAAAGACATTGCAATGGTTCGGTAGTCTGAAAGGGAGTTTCGTTAGAGGGTTTTATGAGAAGATAAGTTGAAGGTTGATAGTGTCAATCCTTGCCTCAAATATTCATCCATCCTTATATATGGAGTAGGTATATTTCAACACTGTCTTCAGGTAATTATAAAGTGCATTGAGAAGCTCATTGGGTGTGCTTTTAAGTAGGAATATATGTTTGAATTTTACTTTAAGCTGACCACCACACATCCCTTTAATCCCTTGTTTAAGATAAGATAACATCTCAAAATTATTTCCTTTGGCATTTCTGTTGGGAGAAGCTAGAAGACAATGTGTGTGGATTAGCCTGCAATCAAAGACTAAAAATTAAACCTTTTAAACCTTTAGAGAAGTTATTCATTTGAAAGTCTGTAAATTGGCATATCTTTCGTCAATTAGATTTCATTGCGTGGCAAGCATGTGGCCCCCGACTATCACTTTCAGTCCATTTTGAGCGATTTTCTCGTATAAGGTGACTATGGCGCAAATACCGTCCAAATAGTAAACATCGAGATGGTTGCAATGCTTTTAAAATACACGCTCAGCTATATATTCGCTCTTCTGCTATGAATTTTGGACAAAACTTAGGCTCCGCGAGTAGAGCCGCTCCTGCTTTGAGTGGTAAGACAAGCCAATTTGTGTTCTGCCGAGAACAATATCTAAAAAAAATCAATTGTCTAACTGCGCTCACCTCTCCGCAGTGAATTTGAAGAAGAAAAATTGATCTATTTGTAGATGGCATAGATTAGAGTTCTTAAAGGAGTGATATAGGCATCAGGTAGGCATAGCCTCCCTGCTCGCTTTTCTCACGGGGATTAATGAGGATCGGAATTCGATCTGAATTTTGAAGTCGAGACTTGTGAAAGGTGCCGATCTCCATCAAAGCTGCCCATTCACCAAATACTTAATCAAAATTAAACAATTTTAGTTTACATGCCAATATATTTTATTATGGCAAATTCCAGAAATGTTTCATTCAAACAATGAGAGAAAGATAAATAACTCACTCACTTTAAATGTCGCTGCTTGGTGTACTGAAAGGCAAAAAAGGCTATAAGCCCGTCTTTTGCGCACACTATTTCTACCTTTTGTAGAGTCTCGAAGCACTTAGAACAGCGACATTTCTTGTTGTAAGATAGTCTGTGCTCTAAGCAGGCTTGCACGCATAAAGAATCCGGCCATCTGACAGCAACCCTGCAATACACGTATGTTATAAATACTTGGAAGAAGGAATCTCGTGAGAGGATCGCGTTCATGCCAGCATTTAGCGCAAGTTTCAACCTTTCGTTGTGATCTCGTAGCGAAACGTGAAGTCCTTGCGAGTCGCTGGTCGTGTAATTTTATGCAAAGTCGATAACCACGCGCACCCTGTGCAATATTTCTACTGTCATTATTTTGTTCCTTACTGTTGGCGTAATCAGCTTGAACCCGTCCAGTTCCCCTTGGATCCAAGAGCCACCATCTGACGTCTCTCAAACCTAGATGTTACCGTTGATCGCGCGTGGATTGGCCTTGCCAACCGAAATAAATCTTCTAGAAAGGGAAATCGATATGAAAAGCTGGTTAGTTAGGTAGAAGATGCTTAGAAGCAGGGACACAATAGACAGAGCGGTGAAAGGTAAATTGTTGCTTATATTATATATTGGCTTCCAGCCCGCAAGGGCTTTATAGGCAATGAAATAGTTGATGAGATTGCCATCTGTTGTGCTAGCGAACCAGCAAACATGAAACACAAAACCCACTAAAAACTATCTGCAATGAAATGTCCGAAATAGTCGAATCAGGGAGAGATGGGGCGCACTAGCGACTTGCAAAACAACCAATATTTAATGCTCACACAGCCATCGAAGCAGTGCAGAAGAGTTCTTGGACCAATGACGAAACACTCATGAGAGGAACCAGCTACAATAGAAGCGACTGGTTGGAGCAAAGGTCCGAAATATGCAGATACTGTCATTCCTTGCAATCAAAAACTGACTTTAGTAGCAGTAACACAAGTAGGGAGTGCGGGGAGAAAGAAAGATATGATTGAGACGCTATAACACATTACCAGTTTCCGTCCGGTCTTAGTTCGAACTCGTCGCAGTAATCGGGGAATATCGCAGTGCAACAAAACCACGCCTGTCTTGAACTAAGCCTATGAGATGACTCTTGTAGATGGTAATAAAACAGGGGTATCCATTTGGCACTACAAAGGACCAACGGGTCTATGTAGCGCACAACAGCCGGCCGGTGGAAGCTCACCTATTTTAATTATATACTAAATTTTACAAACACCTTAAACACTCGAACTCAAGAGTTCTTATATTTGCTACTTTCTGAGAAACTTTTTTTTTTTGGTCAAACATCGCCATGTGACGTGATATTTAAGGAGAATAGCAATATTTACTTTCGTGGAAACGCATTTATGAAATGAGTGAATGATTGAATGGAAAGGCAAACAGAAATAAATAACGGTAAAATAAGCACATAACAGTTACAAACAATTTCGCATGCCAGTAAATGAATATCTATTCGCATTTCGCTAAATGGATATGCATATGTATGTATGTATGTATGTATGTAAGCACAATTTCGCAATGACCGCATGTACACGTATGTATGTATGTTAGTATGTGTTAGCACAGAATAAATAGATACTTCTAGATATAATTAAAACCCTTATCAGTGTGACCAAATGTGAAAAATAAACGCATTCGCAGATAATACACATTGTGAAAATGTCAATGTCTGGATGCGAGCAGACACCAGTCACCAGTCACCAGCCACCAGCCACCAGCCGCTCGATAGACCATGAAAATACATACGCGTTGAAACAGTTGAACGCAATTAGGCAAACCGCGCGGATGGATATATGAACAATAGTCGGACGGAAAATTCATAGTGAGTCGCAAATAAAGGATATAAATGCATATACATACGTATGTATTTATGTAAAGGGTGTTTTTTTTTTGCATTAGGCATGTGGTTTTCAAGAAGAAATATAACGCATATCATTTAATATTTTGGCCAAGAAGTTAGCTTTATTATGAATTTAAGTGTTTTCCATTATGTTTAAAGAATGATTACGCGCAAGTGATCGCCGCCGTTGGCTCGGTTCGGCGGTTCTAGTGCAATTTTGTATCACTTTTAGTTATAATTGGAACCGTTTGTCAGCAATAACGCGCCGAGTATTCTCTTCCAAGACCGTCAGTCCTCTCGGGCGTAGCTAAGTAGTGAAGCCACAAAAAGGAGTTTCGCGGTGTTGAATAGCACGATTTTGGAGGTCATGCCACATCCACACGATAAAGGATAATACGTTCTCAAATAGTTAATTTCAATAAATTGATTGTTTCGTTGGCTGACTGGCATGTAGCGCCGACTTCGCCGAGTTCGTTCACATCAACATCGTTTCAATACAGTTTCGAAAAAAGGCATTAATCTTGGTTCTTTGGGGTTAAAATTTTGACGGTAACATTATGTCCGGCTTCGTTTTTGAAGCAATATCCAACTATGACTGAT